GGATTGTAAACATAGATGTTAGGAATGGAAATACTATTGAATCCTATCATCATCATCATCATCATCATCATTCAATCCTTATCCTAATATATGGGATTGGCAACATGAATTTTTTTTCTTTAATCTATTTTATGTAATGTCTTATACATTATTAAATTATTGCTACTTAAACCATTTCTTAATACTTTGTTTTTTTCTGTTTATTCCTTATCTAGGCTTCAATGGCTGAGCGAAAAAACAAATTCATTTTTAGGTCGTATTTAATAACCCAAAGGCTATTCTATTTTTTTTGGGCTAATTATTAAAAACTATTTTAATAAAAATGAAATGAGAACATAGAACTAGATCGAATAACAGATAGTGGTAATAAACCACCACAAGGCATATTTCAATTTAACCGGCATGACGAGCGACTTTTATGTTAGACTTTTCTAATTAGGGTTTTACTCATGCAGACTTTATCGGTATGCCCCTTCCTCCCTTTCTCTACTTCCCGCTTCCTATCACTCATTAAAGTCTTCCTTCTATTTCTACACAAAAAAGAAAATTTTGTCCCGAATTTGGCTTCGGTCAGTGCATGCCCGTATTCATACCGTTCGAACAGTCTTTTGTAAGACTGTAAAGAATGTTCGAACGGACGACCGAAGCTGAACTCGTCTGTCCCTACTCCCTATATTTGTAGATCGACAAATAACCCGATTCTAGAAAGGTGATGTGAATTCTTCGAATTAAGTACGCCCATGAATGTGTGTTGACTGTTGACCCCTTTTGCAGTAATTGTGCAGTAACAAGTTCATGTAAGGCCAACCATGTCCCTATATTTCCGGTTTTCCACCATCAAATGGTTCTACTTCTGCACGCTGCTTTAAAGTTTAGGCGGGTTGAAGGAGTCAAAGTGAACTGCAAGATAGTATTTTACTTTCGGCATCATAGATTTTTCACATATATGTATATAACAAGCAGATGAAAAACTTGTACAAGTGGCAAACGACCTAGTCTAATTTGGTGTTCTGCCCTCAGTCACCATTTAATTCATAGAGGATCAGATCCACCAATGACAGACTTGATGGTTGATCACTTGATCCAACATATAAATTGCGCTAAAAGTCAGCCAACAAGATTGCCGAGCAAATAAAAAAAATTAGCATGACCAGATGACTTCCGGACTTGTGATTTGGAAGTGACATCATTAGATGCAGACATTTCAGTCCTCCGATTATCTGAATGGTTCTAGTGTGATAATAGATCTCTTAAAAGTTAAAACGGGATCCATCCAATGGTGGGTGACAGACTCCCAATTCTTAAGTCTCGCTTTGGAAAGAGTATAAATGTAAATATGTATTGTCTAAATACATACAAAATAATATAAAATATAAGTTTTTGCACTCTACTCAGCCCCAAGGAGTCAAGAACTCGGGAGAGTAGAAATGGATTTTCATAATCCAAATCCAATTGCTTTTGAATCCGTTGACCTCATAATAAAATTTCCTTTTGCCTTCGCAAAGAGAAAATAAAGGAGAAGCTTAGTGGTCATCTTTTCGCAATGGCTTTCCAATCACTTGAATCTCTGCTAGTGCTCTTTGCTTCCATGAGCCTGCTGGTAGCAGCCTTAGCCCAAGACAATGTCAGTTTCGTTTACAACGGGTTTCAGAGAGATGATGTCCAACTGGACGGAATCGCCTTCATCCATTCCAACGGTCTGTTGCAGTTAACCACTACGTCTAATCAAAAGATTGGTCATGCTCTGTATTCATCTCCTCTGAGGTTTAATTCTTCTTCACCTGAATATTCTCACTCTCTTTCCTTCTCTACCACTTTTGTATTTGCCATGGTTCCCCAATTGACTACTGTGAGTGGCCATGGCATCGCCTTGGCTTTCTCGCCATTCATGGGGTTCCCAGGTGCTGTGGCAAGTCAGCACCTGGGACTGTTCAGTGAAACCAACAATGGAAACTTCTCCAATCACGTTTTCGCCATAGAGCTAGATACAATTCTTAGCCCCGAATTTGATGATATAAATGATAATCATGTTGGGATCGATGTGAACAACCTTAAGTCAATTGAATCAACTCCAGCGGCTTATTATTCAAGCAAAGAAGGGATCAACAAGAGCCTGCACCTCATAAGCGGAGATCCAATGCAACTTTGGATAGAGTATGATGGTGTAGAGAAGCAACTCAATGTAACATTAGCTCCACTTTATTACCCCAAACCTGAGATTCCCCTACTGTCGACATCACTTGATCTTTCTTCAGTTTTCATGGACTCTATGTATGTGGGTTTCTCTTCGTCCACTGGTTCGATTGCAAGCTCCCATTATATTCTTGGATGGAGCTTCAACAGAAGCGGCCAAGCGCAAGAACTGGAGCTTTCTAGTCTTCCTTCACTTCCAATTTCAAGACAATCCCAGTGGAAGCAGAATCTAAAAATTTGGTTACCGTTTACTATCGCAGCAGCTCTACTAATAACAATTATTGTGACCGTCTACATGATCAGGAGAAAGAAGTTCGCGGAAGTACTTGAAGATTGGGAACAAGAATATGGCCCTCACAGGTTCGCCTACAAGGACCTGTACAGAGCGACCAAAGGATTCAAAGACAAGGAGCTTCTTGGAGCCGGTGGCTTCGGAATGGTTTATAGAGGAATATTACCGGATTCCAAATTACAAATTGCAGTAAAGCGATTCTCCCATGATTCAAATCAAGGGATGAGGGAATTTGTGGCCGAGATAGTGAGCATGGGGAGGTTGAGGCACAGGAACTTAGTAAAACTACTTGGATATTGCAGGCGAAGAGGGGAGCTCATCTTGGTTTATGATTACATGTCGAATGGGAGCCTTGACAGTTTCCTGTATGATAGTGATGGAAGAAACCTCAGTTGGGTTCAACGTTATAGAATCCTTAAAGGAGTGGCATCTGGTCTTCTATACCTACATGAAGAGTGGGAGCAAGTCGTCCTACACAGAGATATAAAGGCCAGCAATGTTCTATTGGATGACGACATGAACGGGAGATTAGGAGATTTTGGGCTTGCAAGGTTATATGATCATGGCTCCAATCTTCAAACCACTAACTTGGTCGGTACCGTAGGCTATCTTGCACCAGAGCTTACCAGAACCGGCAAGGCGGACACCAGCACTGATGTGTTTGCTTTCGGGGCTTTTATGCTCGAGGTCGCTTGCGGAAGGAGACCCATAGATCCTCTCCTATCGGTGGATCGAGTTGTTTTGGTGGATTGGGTGTACCAGTGCTGGAGGAGAGGAGTAATTCTTGAGGTGAGGGATCCTAGACTAGAACATGATTATGTAGCTGCAGAAGTAGAACTGGTTCTGAAGTTGGGGCTACTTTGCTCACACCCTCTGCCTACAGAAAGGCCGACCATGCGGCAGGTCATGCAGTACTTGAATGGCGACGGCATCTTGCCTGAGATATCACCGGAATATTGTAAGATTTCTGCAGTTGAGCAAGTCGCCTCTTCATTCCCTTCACTATTTGGGATTGGGAGGACGCCTCTCCATTCATACACTACCGCTAGCAGCATTGATTCCATACTCATCTATGGCCGTTGATGGTGTCATGCTATGTACATGTATTATTTCAAAATTTCTCTATGAATAGCTTTTGCTTCGTTATGATCTCATTTTGTTGCTGAAAGATTCATCGGAACGAACCCAGATTTCCTACTCATTTTTCCTACCCACTCTCTACCCGCCGTGAATAAGTGCAATGGATTCTTCCACTGAAATTTTTTATCTGAGAAAATATCTTCTTAGAATCAATTGAACGGTTGAAAGTTGAAACCCAAACCCAGTTTGTTAGACATTGGGCTTAGAGTTGGATTGATTGATTTGTTCAACCACGAGAATACGTCTATCCATGAATCCAAAGTTTAGGGGTTTAGGTCAGGCGGACTGGACTGGATTAAGGACAAATAGGATTAATCCTAAGAATTGGGCCTAAGGCCTCAGATGGAGGTCAAGCCCGTTTGTTCAATTCATACACAACCTGAACTGAAATTTGTCCTATTGTAGTCAATTGGGCTCAAGGGGTTGTGTATGTATACATGCTTATATGCATGCATAAATTTATGTATACACTAAATTTCATTCACCACCCATGAAGGAGGCTCCTCAACCACATACCTCGAGTTTTCATAAAATTAGCCATAAGATGAGTTGGCCTATCAAAGTCCCTGTTAACAAACTCAAAATAGGCCGCACCAAAAGATGAGTTGGCAATGTTATTTGAAATGTATTTCAACTCCTCTAATCCTTTTTTCCTTTGACTTGTAATGCTGTATGTATTTGGTTCCATGGACATTTATAGATGGGGTAGTGTTTTTTCAGATAAATGTTTTAATTGAAAAATGTTTTCTTGTTTGGTTGAATGTTTTATAGGCGTTTTAAGTAATACACCGTAAAGCATTTCATTTCAATAAATGCTTGGCTGTTGGAAGAAATTAGAACTTGAAGTTTCCCCCAATGTCTCAAGCACATAAATCTAAGTGTTTCTTTTTTTTTTCTTTTTAATTTATTTGATAAATATTGAAACCAAATAGTGGTTTCATTCATAATAAACACCCACGCCTAAGTAGCACTGATTTGGCAGCGTCATAAAACCAAACATAGCTTTTGTTATATTTGTTTCGTTGCTTCATCAGGAGATGGCTTTCTTTTTAAAATTTCCCATGTTCATTGTATATTGTAAAAGAATTTTCTTTTTTTTTCTTTTTTTATTTCTTATCCAAGCTCGGCAAACTGAGCAGATTGGGTGAGGTGCTAGGACAAATTGTGCAAAATGAACAGATGAGAGAGTGCGAGTGGTGGTGGAGGGATTTTGGGGACTGACCCATTCAGACATTTTATCGAACAAATGGGGGTCAGCTATTTTCAGCAGTGAACAAGACATGGAGGGTTAAAATAGGGTTTTAAAAATTTTAAGCAAGTCATGTAACGAAATATTAACAGTTCTTTAGTAGAGGGTATGCTTAAATCCATTGGATCGGTCCACAAGGTATATATGTGTATTTAAAAAAAAAAATCAGGGGATGTACAACAAGGATGTTTTAAGTCTTTTTATACATGCATTACATACGACAAAGATAAATTTACAATGGAAAAGAAACATGGATCACACCAGTTTTTATTTATCACTTACCCTTACAATAAACGCCTAAGCTGCTTCGTTAACCAAACATATTTCTACCAACGCCCTGTGGAGAGAAGAGACTCTGCCACCGATGATTGAGTGGTTGTATTCCCCGGAGAAGAATACGGCATACTAAAGTCGCTGAAGCCTTCACTGTGAGCAAACGCAAGACTACTAGCGCTAACCGACAATGGATCTGGGAGAGGAGCTTCTCCCTTTAAGAACTCCAATATTTGTCGCATGGTCGGCCTAGCAGTCGGACATGAATTACAGCAAAGAAGGCCAAGCTTCAACACTAAATCCATTTCCTCAACTACATAATCACCCCTTAATTTTGGATCTGCTGTCTCAAGAATTGTCCCTCTGCTCCAAAACGAGATCACCCAATCAACCAAAATAACATCCTCACCGGATGCCTGTGGTTCTATAGGCCTTTTCCCACAAGCCACTTCAAGCATAAAAGCCCCAAAAGCAAACACATCTGTACTTGGAGTCGGCTTACTAGTTCTAGTGATCTCCGGTGCAAGGTAGCCTAGTGTCCCCATTACATGTGTCGTTTGTGGATCAGTTCCGTGATCATATAGCCTTGAGAGTCCGAAATCACCTAACTTCCCATTGAATTCTCTATCTAATAAGACATTGCTGGACTTCACGTCTCTGTGAACAACGATCTGCTCCCAATCTTCATGCAGATAAAATAGCGCGGACGCTACCCCTTTGATGACTTGAAATCTTAGGTCCCAACTGAGTCTAGACTTTGGTTGGTCGAACAGATACTTGTCTAAACTTCCATTCGGCATGTAATCGTAGACCAACAGAAGCTCTCCCTTACGCCGGCAATAACCCAAGAGTTGTACTAAGTTCCGGTGCCGCAGCCGACCGATACTAGCAATCTCGGCAACGAATTCTGTCATTCCTTGTCTTGATTCATGGGACACTCTCTTCACTGCAACTTCCACTTTGGAGGTGGGTAATATCCCTCTGTACACCATACCGAAACCGCCCGTACCCAGAAGCTCCTTTTCCCTGAATCCCTTGGTGGCAATGTAAAGATCCTTAAATTTGAACCTGTGAGGCCCATAGTCTAGTTCCCAATCTTCAAGCACTTCCGCAAATTTTCTCTTCCTCAAGATAAAAAGGATGCCGGCGAAAACCGTACACGATAAAACCAGGCCAATAATGGGCAACCCAACCGTAACAAACTTAGATATCTGTTTGGGTCCTACTCGAGGAAGCTTAGGAAGTTGGGAGAGAGTGAGCTCTTTTGCTGGACCATTCATCTTAAAGCTCCACCCCAACACATACTGTGGTGTTAGAGCTGGGCTATTAGACGCCGAGAAACCAACGTACATGTGGTCTTCCAATATCGAAGAAAGATCGTAAACAAAGGATAAGAGTGGGATATCAGGTTTAGGCACATTAATAGGAGCTAATGTGACATTAATTTGAGTGTTGACGCCATTATATTCGATCCACAGTTGCATTGCTTTCCCACTTTTGAGGGTTAGGTTCTTATGCCCACCATTTTGATCGGTAAAATAAGATGCTGGTGCGGAAGCAACAGAAGTTAAGCTGTTAACGTCGATACCTACATGATTATCATCGACATCAGCCAATTCAATGTTCCGGAGTGTGTCAAGTTCAACTGCAACAATATGGTTGGATGATTTTCCATTGTTGGACTTGTTGAAGATGCCTAGATACTGGTCTGGTTGAGATCCGGGGAACCCTCTTGAAGGTGCCATCGCAAAAGCTAATCCATGGCCGCCTATATCTGGGTAACCGGGCTGGCTGAAGATGGCGAACACCAAAGTGGTAGAGAAGGAGAACACTTTACCGTCCGATAGGTTCTTGAAGTTGAGTGGGTACGGGTAGAAAGCGTGACCTGACTGTTGTGCAGTGCGGTTGGTTATCATCAATAGCCCGTTTGATGTGATCTGGGCCAGACCTTCCAGGCTTAAGTTAGAACCTCGGAAGCCATTGTAGGTGAAATCAGCATCTTCAGAATCTGCATACCAGACAAGCAGAAACAGAAGCAGATTTAGCTGCGGGAGCTTCACAGACATGGGTGGCCAAGTGCGTATTTGCTGCTTAATCGACGAGGGTCTCAACAAATGAGTGCGTTTTTCTTCTGTTAGACAGATATAATTTGTTTAGTAAAAATCCATGAACCACCAAAAATAACGAGAAAATTGTAAAAGAAACAACAAAATTAAAGGACAAAAGTCTCAAACCAAATCAAAATATCTTGTTCGCATTTATTACACTTGCAAATTCACAATGGTGATGCGAAGTGGGTGCCTTCACTCTATACGGGGACATACCAAGTCCGGTCCAATAGGAGGATTTGACATGATTTTAAAAGGCTTAAAGCTCTTTTTGTTTTGGAAAATTATTGATTTGTATCCTACTTACTTTGGGCCTAGTATCACTTAAAAGTTGCCAATGTCAAAATTATCTTTCAAAATAAAAGTTTAACTTGTTGAGAAGGCCTTTGATCTTATCGGTGTCCTCTCACCAAGGGATGGCAGATGCCAGCGTTTTAGTTTCATATCCTTCTGTGGTCGAAGGAGCTGACGCTGGCTTGAGCTCCCATTAAGTTCTGACGCCCCAGAGGTGCCAGAAAGATACCGATCGAAACCGGTAATTTCCAAAAGGGCTGGCATTTTTTATGTTGCTGAAAGCTTCTTTTGCATCAGAGCCCTATAAAAAGACAATCGGGGCACAACAGTGGCCCTTTTCTCAAAAGCTCTCATCATCTCTATAGCTTTACTCTCTTCCGCTGCATCAAATTAGATCTTTTCTTTCATTTTCATATGCTTTGCTTTTATATTAGCAAATGAAATTTGTTATTTGATGATAGTGGCCGCTGTCCGGTTCCGCATATATACTTCATTGGTCTGAAACTGGTAGAGTTGGAGATTATGCTCCTGGCCAGTGGCCACTCCATATGTTTACAACTGGACTCGCGGAACTAGAACCCTCCTAGGTCCTTAACGCACATTAGAGCTCTCACTTTCTTATCCATTAGGCCACATTACAGTGAAGCAAAAACAGAGCAAATTAATAACTAACTGAACACTTCAAATCCAAAAAATTTTGGTCTAAGACACTTGTCAAAGCAAGACTTGGTCAAATAAGAAGTTTACTTTCAAGAAGAAAAGCTGAAAACAATCTTGCAAATTACAACCCATATAACAAGAAGTTACTCCAATGGAGTGAGAAATATCTAAATCAAATAAGGTATGAAGGTATCAGTTATGCAGCTAAATAAAATGATGAAAGCTATAAGTTTTAAATTGGAAAAAAATAACGAGGAAATTAAAGGTACCTCAATTGCGTCAAGATCATAGTATGTATTTGAAATCGATGCTGCAATTACAGCAATACTGTGTTTTCTGTTTGGTACCAGTACCATTTTTGAGGTACCTCAATTGTGTGGATTGAAAGTACCATTTTTGAGAAAATTGTGTTTTTTTTTTTTTTTTTTATTTGAAAACGTTATTATCACGTAGGACGTTTCTTAGAACAATAGCAACACTTTCTGTTTGGTACCAGTACTTCATATATATTTTCAGCACTAGTACCCATTATAGGAAGTCCACATCACTATCACATCATGTCCTCATTGGCAGCAATGAGCTCTAATATGAGAAAACGTTGAATTTGGCATTGCTCCAAACCACGCCTTCTCGATTTCTAAAGCATGGCTTGAAGCACCATTTTATGAAAAAACAGTTTCCAAACATATTGACGTTTGTTGAAAGCATTTTTTTAATCCAAATAATATCTAATAACTTAATAACCCAAAATAGGTGGGTTAGCTGGTTTGCTAGCCAAATTATCAAAACTATAAAAAAGTATCTTGTATGAGAGTTCCTTCCATTTAAGTGGGGAGTTCCCTTTCTTTAAGTGGGAGAGATAGGTGTCCCTAATCTAGGAGGAATAGGTGGTTACATAACTACCCCACTCCCTATTTAATAAGCTCCTTAAGGGGAAGCTAGGGGGCTATTCGAAGAAAATTGTCACAAGAGATTCTTAACAAAAAAAAATATAAGGAAAGAAGAAAAGAGAAGTGCTCAAGGAAAGGCAAGGAAGGAAAATAAGTCTCACTAATACAGGTAGGAAAAGGAAAGTCCTCTTCGTGAATACTTCCTACCCAAACACTATGGGCTTGGGAATAGGGCCTGAGCTTTCTTGTCGAGGTGACTAGGGCCAGGGCAACCATCTTTAGATTTGAGTACTAGGTTTCAACGCTATTGAGGACCTTTCTAGTGTAATAGATCGGCCTTTTAGTGTCTTCGGAAGCATGTCGTTAACCATTTCGGAACACCAGTTTAATATTTATAAAATTTTACAATTCTCAAACAATTACAAACGTAGTAAAATGATGAGAACGAGCCATATCTACAACGAAGCGAGGGAAAAGTTAATGCGTACTCAAATCCGGACAAGAGAACACTCTATTTTATTTTCAATTTTGATAAAAGAAATAGAGGGAAATAAACCATTTACAACCAGGTGCCTCTACTTTGTTGACTATATTCCCTTCAAATGAAAATCATTTACAATCTAATTCTCAAAGACTGACTATGGCTCCCTTCAAATGAAAATGAAGAACAAGGGAATAAAATCGTTTATAATCAAATATGCAATTTGATTGACTACGGTTCCCTTCTTGTCTACAAAAATCCAAAGGATTAAGGCTGTCTACAATCATAACTTCATTTGATTGACTACAACTTATTGTGAAGAAAGGAGTGAGAAGGAAATCTTCTTTGTATAAAAAAGAAAAGATACAAATTTATTGTTGTAGAGTTTTGTTTTCTTCTCATTCTTGTATACTTGATGTAAAAGAAATGTAAGTGATTTTTTTTTTTTAAAGTACTCTATTGTTCTTCTTTTTCGTTCTATTCATTTCTCCAAATCATAATCAAAAGGTGCTCTCTACTTTCTTGTGGAGATGTAATTAAGGGGAACAATCCGTATGATCCCCAGAATGGACCTTACCCAAAATAATAAAAATTCGATCATTTGATTGAGTGAATTATGTTGCATGAGAATTTATTAAAATTTTCATACTAACAACGTTTCCTGGAGTACTGATTTTTCCAACATAGCGCTGATGTGTCACCGTTTTCTAGAACAACGACATCGATACCAAACACCGCTTTAGTGTGATCAAGTTCATCTCGTAATCGTGGCCCATTGCTCAATAGGCTCCTTCCTTCCACCTCTGTTTCTGATTCATTAAGGGCCCCAAACCTACTGAATATTGTAATCAGATCATCTATATATTGATGGCAAAGAGAAACTTGAACGTTTTTGTTGGTGGGGGGTCAGTCACCTGGGAATTAGCCTCCAAGGACTTCCTCTTTCATCTGCCTTGAAGAGCTACTTGCTCGGTGTATATCCCATAAGCTTCTAAAAAAAAAAACACTTCCTTTGATCGCATCTAAAGATTGATTTCTTTTCAGATAACAAACAGCAAGAGCGACAGTGCGGGGTTCCAACAGCATTTAACTCGACAGTCGCAGTACAGACCAGGTCCACAGTTGCCATGGTAATCCACTATGAGTAGATTGTGAATCCACATCGTGTGCATCGTGGTTATAGAAAAAACTCTATAACCATCAATACAAATCCACCACGTCACTTAGTTGTAACGGAGCAGTGAAAAGTTGAAAGCGAATAGTTTATTATTTTTATTAAGATTTGAATTTTAAACACCCGCCTAACCTTTTAGAAGTTAATAGATGCACTCCTCTCTACTAAACCTTCATTCCGTCTTTACATCTCTTGTCTATTTGAATTTAAAGAACAAAGGAAGGTAAGTGAATTTAAAATAAAAAAAAAAGATGGTTCATGAGATTCAAGTTCCGGGTTTTGTATGAGGATCGAAGAATTCTTATGTGTTACCATAGTTGGGGCTATAGAGTTGGGTTCATCCAATACCACAATTGCAATTGAATGCCGGTTTCGCTTGGCATCATCATTCAATTCTTATAATGTTGCATCTAAGGCATTTTCAGACCAACCTGATCAAATCCCAATGGGAGTCCAACAAGTGCTCTGAAAGTTGGGAGTTTCCTCCTTCTGGTGGTTGTTTCAGTCATTGCCAATATGCATAAAATGGAGCTTGTTAATGTTGATTATACCGGAAAAGATCCAAGTGGTCAATATGTTCGAGTACTAATCCTCTCTCTCTCTTTCTCTGTCTCTCTCTCCCTTTTTCTTCATGGTGTTAAAATTGAATATATGATACAATCAATTTTATCTGATTATACGTTAGAATTGGGTTTCACCATAGACTTGACGGTCGTCTAAAACTTTACACTGCCACTCTCATAAGGAAGAAATCAAGCTCCCTACCTTAGCTGAAATCCTTTTAAGTTCCTGAAATTGAATAGACTTTGGAACTTGCGTCTTCCTCTCTTCTCATTTCTATCTGTTTCCTTATCATTTTATCTTTACTAGCTTACCAATGGATGTGTTTCAAATAGAATTGCTTAGGTACAATTTTTAGGAGGTGAGGCCAAAATAATGAAGGGAAGATGGAAGGGTAAAATTTTCATTGGTTGGGTTTTATTTTAAAAATTTGAGAAATAATGATTGACATTTCACTTCTTTCTATTAGCACTTAATGACAATGCCAATTATTAGAAACAGAAAAGGTATTTTAAGATAATATGTAAGCAGTAAGGGTACTTTAAGACAATATGTAAACAATAAGAGTAGAGTTAATCAATTAGCTAAACTATAAGGGTAGTTTAAGAAATTTTCCCTTATAATTATAACCCTAACTTAGTATAACCATATATTGGATAAACACAAAGAAAAATAAAAAATAAATAAATACTCATCCCATAATTGAATATGTTTCCACGTTCAATGTAACAATGGTGTGACGAAGAGAGGAGGGAAAGAGAAAAAGGGAGGAAGAGAGAGAGAGAGAGAGAGCAAAAGAAAAAAACATAAAATTAAAAAATAAATACATAAAAGGAGAGAAAGGCAATGTTGGTTTGGTAAATACTCGATTATGATGATGGAGGAAGGAATTGGAGAGAAGAAGAAGAAGAAGAAGAGGAGGAGGAGAGAGAGAGAGAGAGA